CTGGTAGCTCAGAGGCACTCTTGAGATCCTCTGGAAACAAAGCTACAGGGCAGCACAGTAGGTAAATGGTTAGCACTTCCACCTGGCAGTACTAGGGTTGCTGGCTCGAATCCCAACCTTGGCACCACCTGCCTGGAGTTTGCATGTTCTCCCTGTGCCTGCGTAGGTTTCTTCCAGGTACTCCGGTTTCCTCCCACACTCCAAAGACATGCTGGTAGGTGATTTGGCTCCTGTCTAAATTGGCCCTAGTATGTATATGTATGAATGTAAGTTAGGGACTTTAGATTGTACGCTCCTTGAGGGTTAGGGACTGATGTGAATGTACAATATATATGTAAAGTGCTGCGTAAATTGACGGCACTATATAAGTACCTGAAATAAATAAATATTTGGTAGTATTTAATAAAAAATAACTCTCGGCAATGAAATCCTTATTTCTTCTCTGACACTCACCTGCAGTAAGCAGGTTTCACCACTAGATGTCCTCAGCCTTCCACATTGATTGATGCCCAGCATCATTAAGCCTGGAAGACAGAGGACATCCAGTGAGTGCAGGGAGTCATGAACCCACCTCCTCAATACAGCTCCCTGTACTCACATTCAATATTGCAGAGTGGCACTGCTGTCTAATACACTGAGGAACACCTACCGTTAGAAGAATATCTGAAGAGCACCACGTCTCTGGTCTGAAGATATCTGAACAAGGCAACCACAGAAAAAAAAACAAACAAACAAAACATGCAGGTTGAGAGCATGAGCATGAGTTAGGCTTTAATAATAACCTCCAACAATAAAAGAAATCAGACATTTACAGGCAGTTTTTATTTCTATTATATCTGGGTCATCTTTATTTAACAATCTTATAGTCAGTAGCTACAATCAATACATTCTGGGATAATTCGAGGTCAGGTGTCTGGAGTGAGAACTGACCCCAAAACAAGAAATGTAAACAGTCACATGACTAGTACATTCAGCTGCATTTCCCACTGTCAATACATTTACACATAGCAGCAGTAACAATCAAGTGTCACACACTGGTCCTCAGACATCCAACATTTCTGAGTAGAGTGTTTGTGTTGCTGGCAGCAGTCAAGTCACAAGCTGTCATTTATCCAGTGCAATAAAGAAAAAAAAAAATCTAAAAAGGAAGGTTCTGATTGGCTACAAACATGAAGACAAACACTTTTCATATATGAGGCTCAGTATACTTTGCCTTTTCTTCCCTCCGAAACAAAGAAACCAGCAGCAATTCCCATTGCTCAAAGTCTGCTAAGGTAAGACAGGCTGCAGCCTGTCAACAAAGCAGTAGTAACAGGTAACCACAATCAGAAGCCTGCGGTGATCACCAGTTCCTCTGGCATCATGGTGGAACCATACCTTGCAAGCCATCCTGTCACTAGTTACCACTCACCAGCAGCAGGATCACTCAGCCTGAGTTCACATATGTGCGGTGCGGTATATGGCATGTGATTCGTACAGGAAACGCACCTCATTCCTGTGTAAATCACGTGATTTATGTGTGGTGTGACTGGAGCCATACATTTTGTATGGCTCTATTCACACTGCACCAAAAACATGCAGGACCCTTTTTTTGGTCCGCACTAGAATCGGATTGCATGGGTATTCACACCTATGCGATCTGATTCTGCACATCGCACCGCATTTTGCGTACCGCTTTCAGGGTGTTACCACTGCAGGTGTGTATGTTTCGCATGAACAGGGTGCGATTCTGATGCGGTGCGGAATTTTCACTGAAAACGCTGTACGTCAGCATGAACTAGGGCTAAAAGTACTCCTGCTGCTAGGGTGTCGCTGCTTCACTGGCCTAACCAGTGAGGTGTCGCTCTGTCACTGCTCCCTCTTTGAAGAAAGATTTTGCAGCGTTTCTCAGATTAAGTGGCACTATAGAAACAAGGAAATGGTCTCTGCAAGGACTGTGCCAATGTGTCAAAATAAATAAATAAATAAAAAGGCAGACTCATTGGACCACGCGGTCTTTTTCTGCCAACACTTTGCTATGTTTCACATCCCCATGTCTGCTTGATGCAAGCCAGAAGCAGGCCAAATGCACCTGTCAAAAAAATTCTGAAAGATCTCAGAAGCATTGCAAACTGATTTCACCAACATACGCTCAAAGCCCATAGGCACAGGTCCTTAGCCATCTCACTGATGGTGAGTCACCCCAGTGACAGGATCACGAATGTGACAGTTCTAGGAGCTCACAATTCCACGTAATGCAGGCAAGCTGCATGGCAATTTAAGAATCCTTTCCGTGGTTTCTAAAAACTTACTGCAGATTTCCATCCAAGACAAATGTACAGAGACATTCAAAAATACATCGGAATATACCTGCCAGCACTTGTTCTATCTCACACCCAGTGTTAATGAGCCACAACAATAAAGCCGACCATACACTCTACACTCTGATTGTACAATCACCTTTAGGGCTGATTCACACCACATTCTATGCCCAGTGGTTCTCAAGCTTCCTAATGCCGTGACCCTATAATACAGTTCCTCATGTTGTGGTGACCCCCAACCATATTATTATTTACCCAGTAATTATAATTCATGAGTGTCGTTTTACCTCCAATACTGCTGCTTTCAGCACAGTAGCTGCTTTTAACAGAGTAGCTGCTTTCAACACAGCAGCTGCTTTCAACACAGTAGCTGCTTTTAACAGAGTAGCTGCTTTCTACACAGTAGCTGCTCTTTACACATCAGAAATGTGTGTTTTCCGACGGTCTTAGGCGACCCGTGAAAGGGTCGTTCGACCCCCAAAGAGGTCGCGACCCACAGGTTGAGAACCACTGTTCTATGCCATCCAGGGGAGTTTCTGCATGTGCGTTTTTAATGCATTCTAGTGCATTTTCCTTCATCTTAATTCAGGACATGTGCATCCCAGTGCTTTGTTGATGCGTTCTTGTGCATTTTGCCGCGTTCCATACAGAAAAAATACAGCATGTTCTACTTTTGGTGACTGCTCTGGCGTGAACTAGGGCCATTGGAATACATGGAAACATTGTGCATGCATTTTTGATGCAGTTTTAAAAAAAAAGCACTGGACTGCATCTGGTGCAAACCAGCCCTTAGTCTAGGTTCACAACTAAGCATTTTGTGGTGCATTTTGCATTTTTCAGAAACGCACTACAGTCCATTTAACATGATTCCCTATGGGACACATTCACATCTCCGCGTTTTCACCTGGTGCGTTTTTTGGAAAGGGTCAGGGACTTTTTTTTAAATGCATAGTTGCATTTTGTGTTTCAATAGACTTCAATGGAGACGCTGCAGAAATGCATGTAGTGCATTTTTTATGCATTTTTGATGGTTTTGTGTTTAAAATCTGCCCAGCAACAAGTTGGCACAAAAAAAAAAAAAAAAATGCAAAAACACACCACAAAAAGCACTGCAGAAAACAGATCAAACACAAACTGCATAGGTGTGAACCTAGCCTAGGACATACCAACAATTATGCATTGCAAGGGGCCAGCCTGATTTGATCTCCTAGATTGTGAGCTCCAAGGAGCAGGGCCCTCCTATCCCTCTTGTATTGAACTGTATTGTTGCTGTATTGTCTCCCGTTATATTGTAAAGTGCTGAGCAAACTGTTGGTGCTATATAAATCCTGTATAATAATAATAATAATATATAAATCCTGTATAATAATAATACTGCTTTTTTCTGCTCTTCACATTACACACTTTTTTACTAAATCTACAGATTATACCGTACATATTTTAAAATTTATGTCCAGCTTTAGATATGTCACTCCCAGCAATACGTCTGTGAGTCCTTAGGCATGCATGATATCATTTGTATTTACAAATTCCTTTGGATCTACCATCACCTATGTAGCGCAAGGGCCTGCATTAATGCACACAAATGCATTGGACTGTTTAGGTAGGTCCTCATATTACATAATTTTGGTAAATCTAAAGGGCAATGTACAGAGATTGTACAATCAGATCGTATAGTGTATGGCCTGCTTGAATTTTCCCACTTAAGTCTAGGTTCACACCTATGCGTTTTACATTGCGTTTTGCAGAAACATACTACAGTCCATTTAACATGATTTCCTATGGGACACGTTCACATGTCCACGTTTTCACTTGATGCGTTTTTTGGAAAGTGTCAAGAACTTTTTTTGAACGCAAAATGTTGCAGCTTTGATTCAATAAACTTCAATGGAGATGCTGCAGAAATGCATGTAGTGTGTTTTTGATGCGTTTTAATCTGCCTAGCAACAAGTTGGAACCCCCCCCCCCCCGCAAAATGCATCAGAACCGTGCAAAAAACACAAAACGCACCAAAAAAAGCACTGCAGAAACGGATCAAATTGCAAACTGCATAGGTGTGAACCTAGACAAAGAGATTATTCATCTGACAGGCTGTAGACAACATGGGAGGACAGAGTTCTGAGGGTGCAGTAGGATTACTGCTGTTTAGCTTGGGGTGATGGGGTCACTCTCCTTCAAATAGTTTCATTTTGGGAACCTTATCATTACTCTCCTATCAACACAGAAGTACAATTACTTTTGAAGAGTACCTGTCCTGCACACAGCAGCAGCCAACATTTTCTGTGTCATGTCCATGACCGTGCATCTGATAGCTAGTCATACAGAGGCAAAATTAACACAGAAGACATTTATCACAACTGGCTGGAAGTGGCCCAATCAGCAACAGATTTGGTCTTCAACCTGACCAATGCAGTCATACTCTACACATGCCATATGGATATATTGGCATTAAAAAGCCACTTTTTTGGATATATCACCATTTCACGCCCATGTCTTTTTGGATAGATCACCATTTCACGCCCATGTCTTTTTGGATAGATCACCATTTCACGCCCATGTCTTTTTGGATAGATCACCATTTCAGGGCCATGTCTTTTGGATATATCACCATTTCACACCCATGTCTTTTGGATATACCACCATTTCAGGGCCATGTCTTTTGGATATATCACCATTTCACACCCATGTCTTTTGGATATATCACCATTTCACGCCCATGTCTTTTTGGATATACCACCATTTCACGCCCATGTCTTTTTGGATATACCACCATTTCACGCCCATGTCTTTTGGATAGACCACCATTTCACGCCCATATCTTTTTGGATAGATCACCATTTCACGCCCATGTCTTTTTTTGGATAGATTGGATAGATCACCATTTCACGCCCATGTCTTTTTGGATAGATCACCATTTCAGGGCCATGTCTTTTTGGATAGATCACCATTTCAGGGCCATGTCTTTTTGGATAGATCACCATTTTCACGCCCATGTCTTTTGGATATATCACCATTTCACACCCATGTCTTTTTGGATATATCACCATTTCACACCCATGTCTTTTGGATATATCACCATTTCACACCCATGTCTTTTTGGATAGATTTCACCATGTCTTTTGGATATATCACGCCCATGTCTTTTTGGATAGATCACCATTTCACGCCCATTTGTCTTTTTGGATAGATCACCATTTCACGCCCATGTCTTTTTGGATAGATCACCATTTCACGCCCATGTCTTTTTGGATAGATCACCATTTCAGGGCCATGTCTTTTTGGATAGATATTTCAGGGCCATGTCTTTTGGATATATCACCATTTCACGCCCATGTCTTTTGGATATATCACCATTTCACACCCATGTCTTTTTGGATATATCACCATTTCACACCCATGTCTTTTGGATATATCACCATTTCACACCCATGTCTTTTGGATATATCACCATTTCACGCCCATGTCTTTTTGGATAGATCACCATTTCACGCCCATGTCTTTTTGGATAGATCACCATTTTTGGATAGATCACCATTTCACGCCCATGTCTTTTTGGATAGATCACCATTTCACGCCATGTCTTTTTGGATAGATCACCATTTCAGGGCCATGTCTTTTTGGATATCACCATTTCACGCCCATGTCTTTTTGGATATATATCACCATTTCACATTTCACCCATGTCTTTTGGATTATATCACCATTTCACACCCATGTCTTTTTGGATATATCACCATTTCACACCCATGTCTTTTGGATTACCACCATTTCACACCCATGTCTTTTGGATAGATCACCATTTCACGCCCATGTCTTTTGGATAGACCACAATTTCTAACCCATGAATTTTGGATAGATCACCATTTCTAACCCATGAATTTTGGATAGATCACCATTTCTAACCCATGAATTTTGGATAGATCACCATTTCTAACCCATGAATTTTGGATAGATCACCATTTCTAACCCATGAATTTTGGATATATTACCATTTCTAACCCGCAAATTTTGGATATATCACCATTTCACAACCATCCTTCTTGATATATCATCATTCCACACCCACACCTTTTGGATAGATCATCATTCCACATCCACGCCTTTTGGATATATCATTCCACGCCTTTTGGATATATCATTCCACATCCACGCCTTTTGGATATATCATTCCACACCCACGCCTTTTGGCTATATCATCATTCCACACCTGTGCCATATTATGAGCATTGTACGAATATCACACACATCCACCAATACCACCCTTGTATGGTTATTGAGCAACCAGGGTAGCAAGTTACCAATCAGTTATCTACCAGCCTTAAAGGTCCAAGATAAAAGACCATCATTGATTTATAAACATCCCATATATTTGCAACACACAGGGCTGCTGTATAACTGGGGAACATGAAACAGCTATCTAGTTCCTCATCAGCTGAAAGGCTGCAGTTAGGTTATACTACCAAAAGTCTTGGTAATGGTCACCTGCTGTGTAGCAGTTGATATACTGGAAAGGCTGGGTACAGGAAGGATGAACACTGCTCTTGATTTACTTTCTATGGCAAAGGTTTAAGGGCCAGTTCACACTTTAGAAATGCAGTCCAGATGCGTTTTTGTATGCACATTTGTTATGCATTCCAGTGCATTTTTTCCTCTCTTTTTCTTCAATTTAAATAGGGACATGTGCATTCCAGTGCGTTTTACCGCATTCCAGTACAGTTCTGTACATAAAAAAATGCAGCCTGTTCTACTTTTTTTTCTGCACCTGGAACATACTGGAACTGCAAGCACTGATGTGAACTATGACATCGACAACCATATAACCTACTTTCTGTGCGTTTTGGATGCAGAAAAAACACAGCTGAAATGCATATAGTGTGAACCAGACCTTAGCATATTTTGAAAACACACAACTTTCATTAATCGAGCCTCTAAGCACATCCAACCAGAATGTCATAGTAAACTACTGCAGGAATTGTCATGTGTACCAGCCAAGGCAGGGTTGGAGGATGTCGTTGGCATACCTGCTGGAAGCTGTGCTAGTTCTAGGTCAGAACACATTTGTGAACAATGGCTCTGCAACTTAACAGCAACATTGGCAGGTAAAATAAGGGCACCAACAATAAAACCCATTACTTGAAAATGAAAAAAAAAAACATTAAAACAGCTAGTTGGTGAAAACAAACATTGCTCATTACCCTATTAGGAGTGATTCCAGTATTGACAATTTTAACATAAACCTGTCACAAACCTGCAATTTCAAAAGTACCATAAGATAAAATACAGGAGTAAGAGAAACAGAAAGCCACATGGCAGATTGGACTCCAGGCAAACATCCACCACACAGGTGAAATACATATTTGGGAACCATTTTTATCCATCTAGTTCTGAGATGACACAGTCATGCCACACAGCATAGCATCTGCTGCTGCAGTTAAAGTGTTACTAAAGCCACAACAGTAAAATCAGTCTGTATATGCAGTAAAGCATGCTTGTTATTCTCACTGTGGAACCTAAGGGGTTAATCCTCTGCGCTGTGTAAAAAGGCTGTTTGATCCTGTCTTCTCTGATCTCCCCTTCTTTCAGTGTCCCCCTCTTCTCTGCTGATAAAGACATATTGTGTGGATACACTCTGCACATGCTCAGTTTGGTGTTTATTGCTGGAGAGGTTTTTTTGTCTTGGAAGAGTGCATGTGATCAGCACAGGGCCACTCAGCACTGTCAAGACAGAGGTCAGGGGTTCTGCATCCTCCTATAGCAGAAAGAAAACTCCTCCTACAAGCTTTAACCAGTGCTCGGATGGACACTAATAGAAATCACAAGACTGCTGAGGAGAAAAGGTATTTAGCGGTTTATAGCTAATAAATAATTGCATTTCCATGTTCTGTGTACTGTGGGAGACCAGATATAGTGAATGCAGGGTCCAGGGTTTAGTAACACTTTAAGCAACACTTACAGGTCTTGTCCCTGTCCTGTGAGTGGCAGTTAAAGGAGAAGCAGCAGGCTGATGAGCTCACTCTACTCTCTCCTCCTATCAGCATGTTCCTTGTTACCACATGAGCACTGCAGTACAACGGATTGGCTTCTTATGTTGCTTTTCCTTCTACCATTCTGAGCTCTGCTGCTGTAGGGGAAGTGGCCAATATAAAATTTAGATACTAACACTGCTTGTATTTAAAGAAATATATATCGCTAATGATGTCTTAATGAATATAGAGCTGCATTAAGTGGTATCGTTATATTTTCCTGGAGTTCTGTTTGAAGTTATATGAAAATAAAAGCTTTATCTGTACAGTTAAGCTCATTTCCACTCCCTCCCACCCTCCTGAGTCTGTTCTATTAATGTAATTAGGCCTACTCATTAGTAGGATGGTTGGGTACATTCAAGATGTACATATGATTTCAGTAGTCCATTACTCGGCACCTACTGATCATTTTCACATTCAGTTTCCACTGCTGGTGATCTCTGCTTATGTAATTTGTTTTCATCATATGCTCAGTCGACTACCAGTGTTTGTTAGGTGCAGAGAGTTTAGGAGCTTTTGTTTTTTTTTTGCCAAAGCCCCTGAACTCAATTCAATAAAGCCTATGCCTCCATGCACACAGGCTTTTATCAGAGTTTAGCAGCAGCAGAGTTTAGGGGCATTTAAATGTTCCTCTCCAGAACACAGAAGAATAACGTGCAGGAGAAGAGCGTTTTGGCCAAAAACACGCTATGGTGTCCGTTTATGAACCAGCGGTAATAGATCGCTGCTCAGTTCTCCGGCATTCTCGGAGAACACAGTTCTCCTGTGAATGCAGTTTATGAAGCAGTTCTCCAAAACGAAGGGAGAACGGTCTCCAAACGCTGGAGAACGGTCTACAAACTCTGGAAAACGGCTGATTTTACTATAACCTCGGGAGATTACAGTAAAAGATCAGTTTACTAAGCAGAGGTAAATTATCTCTGCTTAGTTTGCGGTCCCTTTGATTCTCCAGCTCTGGGCTGGAGAATCTGGAGGGAGAACACAGATCTCCAGTGAAGGGCTGACATGATCTCCTGAGTGTCAAACTGTGAATGACCAGAGAACAGCTGAGATCCGTTGAATCGCAGCTATTCTCTGTGTCATAATCGGACACCTAAATCACAGCAAAAACTTGTGTAAACGTGCCTAAAACCTAAGCATGTTTAGCACTTGGGCTCTTATTCATTTCAATGGCTAGTGCTCTGGCCAATGAAATGAACATCCAATCACTAAACGCAGGTAAACGTGGAACCATGTTTACACGAGTTTAGCATTTTTCTGCTGTCAGTAGTACATGGAGCCTTAGGCCCTGTGCTGATGAGCTTTTGCTTGCATCAGATTAGTTTTGCATTTCTATTCAAGTCTATGAGACTGCAAACCCCACTTAAAGCAGGTCACCTGCAGGCCAAAGGCACCTGTCAATAAATTCTGATTATCCTAGAAGCATCTCACACTGATGCCATGAACACAAGACCAAATCACATTGACACTGGTTCTTAAAGGAGACTTTCCATGGCGAACAGAAGGTCCACTTTACTGGCAGCATACCCCCCCACATCGGCCAACACAAATGGCTTTAAAAAGAGATTTGGAAAACTGTTCACTTAAAATAAATCAATAAATAACACCCAGCACTAGCTTCTGGGAGGAACAGGTTACTGATACAAACAACCACCTAATCATATTTTCTATAGAGTGGGAAAAGTTTTTGTGGCCATCTGTGACATTATTAGTGAGATTTACCCTCAAATACTGCATGGTTGTGAGATAAAAGGTAAAGGTGAATCTACCCTGTACCAAATTGGACAGTTTACTCACATCTATGCACTGGAGTGCCATTCAAAATTAGGCCTCATGCACATTGGGCTTACAAAAACACTGCTTTTACAGGCGGTTTACTTTTTTTCAGCCTCTAAAGCAGCCTTTCTCAACCAGGGTGTCCAGGCATCCTGGGTTGCCTTCAGGCATCTTCAGGGTTGCCTTGGCAAAATGCCCCAAAATTGTATACAAGCTAGAAGGTGGATCAATCCTGCCTTCTAGTACACAAAGCTACAGGTTTTCATTGTGCACTTTTATGACCTTTTAGCTGCCAGCATCCTAACAACCAATGACATCATCAGTTGATAAGGACTCTGTCGGGTGCATGCACATCATCCTTGTTTGGCCCTTCCCTGCCCATCTCTGTCAGCACTGGGGTCACATTAGCAGAATGAGGGAGAGAAAATGAGAGAGAGACATTGGAATAATAGTCAGTACCAGTGTGTAAAGGTGTATTTGCTTTGGAAGAATAAATCGCCTCTAATGTTGGGTGTACTGGATGTGTGTAGAATAGTTTTTTACATTTTAGATTGGGGTGCCTTGAGATTGTGCAGAATTTTAAAGGGTGACTTGAGATTATCCAGAATTTTAAAGGGTGCCTTGACTGAAAAAAAGGTTGAGAAACACTGCTCTGAACGCACTCCTATGTTAGCCTATGTGACTATGCACACGCGCAGGTGTTTACAGACGTATTAAAAGAGGAGTGTTTGCAGGCAAAAAAAAACAACAGTGCGTTCAGGAGAAGAGCATTTGGGCAGAAAAAAAACACGTAAATGCTAGGTGCATTTAGCACTTGAGCGTTCATTTTTGTTTGAATGACCAGAATAAATTAATATTTAGACCAAACGAATGAATGGCCAAATGCATTTGCAAAAAATGTTTTTAAGCAGCTTTTCTCCTGCCAGGAGAAACGGCATTTAGAGGAGCTGGGCCCAGTGGGCACGGGGCCTTAAAAGCACCACAACACAATGTCCATTGTGCTTTACAGTAATGAGCATCACCGCAGCTCACAAATGTGAATCTGGCCTTAAAGAGTAACTTCACTTTTGTTGAGAAAAAAAAAAAACCTTCCCCTCTGGGTGATTAATGTACATTGCAGGGGCTTTAAAAAACTTTGCTGCAGATTCTCACCTTTGTTATTCTGAAGAAAGAGCGGTTTGTCTGTGTCCATGTGGAAAGTGAATCTAATGTGAGTTGATTCATAATTATCAATCGGCTGCACTTGCAAGTCTTGAATGAGGAAAATGTCAGGGTCTGCATCCCTTTAGACGTGATTTCCTATTGGGAGTATCTCACCAAAAATTACATTTTTCGTTGCAGGGGATGCTAGAAATTTGACTTGTAACTTAGTGCAGACTTCTGGAAAATCCGTGAGCCAATCACAGGAAATGTTTCTGGGGAAATTTTTGATACCATTCAATTACAATATGACTTGTGTAGCAATTGTATACACTATATTATTTATTTTCTATTTTTTTTCTCACAGAAGTGGAGTTAAACTTTAAAATAGGCCACTTATAAAGGCATTACAAATTTAGAGTGTGCATGAAGCACTGGTAACACAACGTCAAGTTGTAAAGATCTCTAACTTGGGTTGAGGTTAGTGTAATTTTGGATTTAACACTTGCCTCCAGTCCCCCATGACAGAGAACTTTACATGTTAACATCTGCATCCACTATACTTAGGCAATTTGCTGATGACCGACTACCAACGTCTATGGGGCCAATGATCAATTCTGGCTGCTCGTGGTGCAAAGATTGCCCAGGAATTTCTCTGCCCTTGGAGAGCAGACTAAAGTTCACAAAGTTACACTTGTCTCCTCCTAAAACTGAGATTGTTATAACACTTCTTTAACTTATAATCTGACAGACCTGAATATATGTAGACAAGATTTCCCAGATGCACAAATATCAACACTGGAAATACTAACAGCTGAGTGCAACTGACTACATATCCAGTCATACACTATAAGGCCAATTGTGGACATCTGACCATCACACCTATATGAGCTTGTTGGGACATCCCATTCTGAAACCATGTGCATTAAAATGGAGTTGGCCTCTCCTTTGTGGCTTCGGTGCCACTCTTATGGGAAGGCTTTCCACAAAACTTTGGAGTGTATGTGTGGGAATTTATGCTCAATCAGCCTTGTGAGAACAGGTACCGAAATTGAATTTGATGACCTAACAATTGGTGTTTCATTTTATTCCAAAAATGTCCAATAGGGTTGAGGTCATACTCATTCCTCCAAACCAAACCCATTAATTCATGTTATTATGGACCTTGCTATGTGCACAGCCATGCAGGAACAAAAACCGCTTTCCACAAACTGTTGCCACAAGGTTGGAAGCGCACACACAGTATGTCCAACATGTCTTTATAAGCTAGCATTAACAATACCTTGCACTGGACATACCCAAGTTCACTGATTTGGAGGAATGTCCATTTATTTTTGGCCACATTAAATTTCTCTAATGAACAGACAGCAGGGATGTCACTAACAGCAAGGGCAGGAGTTACAGAGATTAGTTTATGCTGAAGAAGAAAGAGCTTTGCACACAGATCAAAGGAAATCTGAGAGAGAAACCATGAAGGCTACCGGGCACATACACTGACCATAGTGTAACAGTGCAATAGTGCATTTACTTCTATGCTGCAAACAACTTTTTGGCTTAGGGAAGGGGGGGGCATGGTTATGTTTTGTTAATAGGATAACTGCATTGAAAGCCATCTTTACACTCCATTCCTTCAAAAATACACTGAAAGTGCATGCACTGCCCTGCTCCTTTAAAGCATTATGTTTACTAATAAATGACAGATGCACCTTAAGCCATCAGGACGACTACTTCCTTAGCCTGAATACAACAGGGACATGGATAAAGACCCAGCTTTCACGTGGCAGTTACTTAGCGGGAACATGAAAAATACAATCAGTGCAATTAACATGCAATACATTCTTCATGCATGTTAACCAGAAGTTCAATATCTAAATACTGTACAATGAATCACCACTTCACAAACACTCAGAGATTACTATGAAAAAGAGCAAATTCAAACAGAATTGTTCTTTGCTCAGTGGAAATCTCCACATACTGAAATGTTTATCACTGGAGTGGTTTTCAGGCTTAAAGCCCATTTGATTCAGAATGTGTATTGCACTAAACCCTGGAAGAAACATGCCAGCAGCACCGGAGGTAACAAAGGAGTCCTTGTATGGAGTGAGCTCTGTAGCAGAGCAGTCTGTTTAGTAGACATGGATATATTCCTGTAGAGCTGGGTGCCTACAGTCCTGAGCAGGCAGTCTGGAAGGAGACACCATGGGTTAAGTGATACTGCTTGGGGGCTCTGCATGTTTGCCACCATCTCCACCTAAAGAAAGTGGGTAGCTCCGAGCATCTCTGATGTACAGCTCCTGATTGGCTGAAAATGTTAGTGGGATGAAACCTTCACTGTCAGCTGTCAGAGTGATCCAAAAAGAGGAACCTGAGAACACAGAATAAAAGATTTGGTAAAATAAAACCATCTGTTACAGTGTGAGACATTCAAAGAGATTGTCACTTTACCCATGCAGGGAAAAATAGTAGTGTTGTCTGATAGCCCCCCGCCCACAAGTTATATTATGCAATATGTGCTCTCTGCTGGGATCCCTGAGACAGATTAGGATTTTTTGTCACATGACAAGTCACAGCCCATTGATTTCAATGGCAACCATTCTAATCTACGCAACCTAAATTTGTAGCGACTTTGAAAAGGTTACTGCACTACTTTGATGCGTCTTGAGTGCCAGAAAGTGTAAAGTTGCATCGAATTGGCACTACAAAGTTGCACTGGAAATTGCATTAGAGGGATCAAAGCCTAAAGTTCTTTTCCTGGAGTACATTACAGAACACAGGATAGTTTTCAGGTACATTGGATTTTATTGCCACCTACGGGAAATTGGATAATGGCAAAGCAAATCTGTAAGGACAACCCAATATGCCCCTCCCACTCCCAACATCCCTCAGTTTCGTGGCAAGTAATGATAGGAATGGATCATAAGAACATAGCGGTGGGACCTGTAATGCAAGACAAGAATCCTATTTTCTTATTCATACATTAGAGGACACAGGAGAGTAGTCTAGTAGGAAAACTGGGATGTCCAAATTAGTCCACCTGGGGGGTGGGCAACACCGCAAACAAAGGCCAGAAGGCCTACAAAAACCAACAGGTTAACAGAGGTCATTCAACAGAGTCTACTGCACTCCCTGAACAACCTTATGACCAAAGCTGGCATCAGCTAAGAAGAACAGAAGAACAGTTAGCAGGCTTGCAAAACAGACAGCTGAACATGAAAAGCCCAGGAAGCACCAACCAAATTAGTGAGGTGCAATTTGACTGGGAAAGGGAGGGAAACCTAGTGCTTGAGGTCACAAGTTTGAAAGAGGAGATAGTGAATCCACCTAACGATAGTAGAACAAGAAGTAGGCTTTCCCCTATAGGGTCTTTCAGGAAAAATAAATAAAAAGTCAGATTAAAGAGGGGGAGCTGTAGATGAGAGACTAACTCCTTAGGGAAAAGATCTTAGGATGTATAGAAGCATGACATAGAAAAAGTAGAAAGTAACATGTCTTAGATAAGGTGCAAGGAAGAAACCATCTTGGAAGAAAAGTGGCCCTGGGCTCAAAACACTTGTCCTTATGTAGCACAGGAATGGGTTCTTTACAGGACAAGGTTGCCAACTGAGAAAACTCGCCTTGCATATGCGATGAGAAAGGCAGCCTTGAAAGTAAGGATAGACAGATCTAAGAGGTTTAAAGGGCTATGTTTGTAGAACCAACAAAACCAGGTTGAGATCCCAATGATTCACGGGAAAACGTATAGGAACAATGTGAACAACACCCTGTATGAAGGCCTTTACTAGAGTGTGAAAGGCAAGTGGTCAGTGAAAAAAATTCACTAAGGCCGATATTTTACACTTCTTACTCAAAGCCAAATGCTGATCCAAACCAGACTGGACAAAAACTGGATTATTGAATGACGAACCTCCTAGGATGGGAGAAATACTACTGCAATGGTACAGTAGAGTTTGTAAGAAGCCCATTTCCTAGCTTTTAGGTGCTTGAGGATGAATGAATCAGGACCTGGACTGCCAAGCCCTGAGGCCAGTGACTGTAAAGCAGGTGTAGCAACCCAGCCCCTGGGACAGAAGATCTGGACAATCTGGCTTGGTGCAGAATCTGCCAAGAGCCTGACAAGTTCAGAGTACCATATCCTCCTGGTCCAGTTCAGAGCAATGAGAATTGCCATATGGACACGATTCTGCCCAGTTTGCTGTGCCTGAAAGACAGAAAGTCCAAATTTGGTATCCCCCACCTGTGACAGAGGGCACAAAACACCTCAAAGTAAAAAGGCCATTCTCCTGAGTCCAGATATTGATGACTGAGAAATTCACTCACACATTTTTCATGTCTGTGGTGTGTATGACAGATAGGCTGTACTTCAAATTCCAACCCTAAGCCAAAATCAGTTCTATGGCTGATTGAACCACGGGACTTCTAGTTCCTCTTTGATGATGCAAACCACTATCATGGCATTGTCCGTCTGAATCCTTTTTGGAAGACAGGAGGTCCAGTGTTGAAAGGATAACAGAATCTTGCCAAATTCCCGAATATGGATTGGAAGATGATCTTCTTACAACGATCAAGTCCCTTGAACTGAAAGGGTATCCAGAAATCTTCCCCAGCTTGGTAAGATGGGTATCTGCAGCGAGAACCTTCCAGACCATTGGAAGGAAGCATTTTTCCCTATTCCAGTGCTAAAGTTGCAACCTACCATTCCTGGTCAATGAATCAGACACTGAGCCTGCTTGTCCCACATGGGCAGAAAACTGAATTGCTATTGTCTGAGTGAAAGTGGGCATATGGAACTGCCTTGAAGGAGGCATCATTAGGCTAGCACCTTCGTAAGACCAAGGTGCAGTGGACAGGCCAAACAAAAGGGCACCAATTGACAAGGATGTATGCCAATAGGGAAATGTAGATAGCATGGATGTGCATTCTTCATGTCCACAGAGGCCATAACCTATCCCAGATGGATGGAAGCAATGACAAACCAGGTAGACTACATGAAGATTTTTTTTTTTTGCCCAGAGAAAGGTGTTGAGAATCTTTAGAACCAGTATGGGGCATATACTCCCCTTTATATTGGGGACAACAAACAGGTTGGAATATAAAATTTGATATTTCTCCTCTTCAGAGACAGTGGCTATGACCCCTTAAAAGAGGAGCTGCTCTAGAGCAATGTGAAAGTCTGCCAACCTAGCAGAGATCTTGGCAAGTTTGACAACAAAAAGTAGGATTGAGGGAGAGACTAAAATTTTAGTTTGTAACCCTTTGAAACAGCGTTCAAGCCCTAAGTGTCTGAAATGTTCTGGAATCAGATGGCCGCGTAGGCAGACAGCACCCCCCTCCCCTTCTCTGACAAGTGGGGTTACCACCTCAATCCAGCCGGGAACTAGATTCCGGACTTGTGGATTCCAGACTAAAGGCAAAACTGTGTTGCAGGATTTTGCCTTGGACTAGGAGGCCTGTAAACCCCCCCCCCCCCCAAAAAAAAAAACACTTTATAGCCCCAGGATTACAGGGTTTCCCCAAATTAATTTTTTTTGTCTTCTCTGGGGGCAAAAGGTATCCGAAGGACTGTAGAAAAAACTGAGGCAAACTGGGAGTGGGAGGGTATACATAGGGCTGTCCTTGTAGCTTTGCTTTGGCTGTTCCCAACCTTCTACAGGTGGCAGTGTACCCAATATTCTAGAATACTATCTTGGTCTTGTAATGTCCGACTAAGAAAAGTCATCATTAAGTCATTAAATTTGCCAAGCCTTACAGATTGAACATGACACTTTGGATTAAATTGCACTTTTAGGCTGAGTATTTATAGATTAAGAATTCAAATGCACATTTGGTAAGCAGGTAATAAAGATTTCAAAAAGTATCTGAGAAATGTTCTAAATTTTTGACAAATGCTCAGAAAACATGCAAATAGGCCAAATCATTTAAAAATTACACTGTGATGCTTTGTAACCTGCCTACCAGAGACATCTGCTGTGAGACGAAGTGGCTGGCAGCCACAGAACGCCACAGCAGGTGTCCCAGTGACAGTTTGTACATGGACGGCTTCATAGCTGCTCGCATGTGTGGTGCCCAATTTGTTCAGAATAAAAATGAATGTAGTAAACAGTTGGAAGGCTGTTCAATAACAAGCTCACCACTAACTCTAACCATTTTTAAGTGATCAGCCTAAAATTAACCTGTAAAAAAAGATTTGAAGGTTTAGGACTATTACTAACCTACAGTACATCTGAAAAACAATATAGTTTCTGATCTGAAACTTGTAGGGAGGCAGGGAGTAAAAATACTGAAATTACTGGATCAACACAACAGTCAGGAAACCTGTATTTCTGGCTATGACAGTTTACATATTTATCTCAGTATAGGTTTCCTTTAGTGGCTTATTGATTAGCGATACAGTATTTTATTAGATGTCTGATTACACTGTTCAACAAATTTTTATTTTTTGCCAGTTTTGGAAACAAAAGGATCCATTTCTTAATGAATTTCACATTCTGAGTTCAAATATAACAATGAAATTTGTCAATTGGCTCTAGTTTTTCTGTAAACGGAAAGTTTTCTACTATAGGCGTAATGACTACATAATGCACAATAATTATATAGATAGATGTCTTTCCACAAATATAAAGCAAGTGATATTGACTACATAACAAAGCCTAAATGGCATAATATATTGCATAGGATTACCAAGAAAAATTATAGCCATAAGCTAAGTTGAATCATTTTAATACTTCGGATTCTCACTAGTTTTGTCTTCAGTTTGTGTCGGTTTTGCTTCTCTTGGCTTTTCTCTTGTATTCGAGGAAAGGGCTATCTCTTACAACTGCACGTGACTACACGCTTCAGGTTCTTCCTCACTTGACTCAACCACGAAGGATTCTGGTGCTTTAGGAATTGGTAGCCCCTCTCCTCCATGAGGAACTGGACGTATTGCCGATGGAATATTTGGATAGTGCACAGATAACTTTTTCTTCTTATTTAGCCTTTTACAATTGGAGGCACCATACAAAAGTAACAATTAATAACATGATCTGTTGGCTCTCTCCAAATCATTGGCACAGCGAAAGGCATAGATGCCTTTTTTCCATTCAACCATTGCTCCAGTGCCGTCCCACAAGAATTGCAGCATATAGGTGGTGCCCAGCTCTTGTCCTGGTCTCCTATCTTGCAGCCAAAATACAAGTTGTAGGCTTTCTTAATCATTCCTGTTATCCTTCTTTTTTGTGAGATAAAAGTTATTTCACCGCAGATATAGCAGAAATTATCTGCTTTATTCACACAAGTTCGAGGCATTACTGGTAGCCTATATAAGCATAAAACGAAATGTAAAGACGCTGTCGAACTACAATCAGCTACAGATACTGCAGCTTTTATGCAGTGAAGTGATGCAATTAACAGGCTAATATTGCATCATCTCAGTATACATACAATTTTCTATTGGTCACCAGTATCAATTGCGCAATATGCAGCTGAAGTTCCATCATAATTTTGAATGGCTTACGTCATTAGATGGGTGAATATATCATGGAAACTAGACAATCAACATTTTTTAGGGTCATTTTCGTTTTCAGCACCCCAAAATTATGGAAGATTAGCTAATTTTATGCCCAAAACTTTTTACCTGTTGAACAGTGTTAGTGAAGGATTAGGTGCTATTCTAAATCTCACAATTCTATTCAGATACAATGTGAATTTGTGTTAAAATATTTCTGTAGACAACAATTAAATGTGTATACACCAACCAACATTTTGTACAACAGACTAACACACACACACTTGCTTCTTAAAATCTGGATGCGTCTTTGTGCACAGCCAAGGGGCAGGCCACCAAAAAGTGGTACTTTGTTTATAGGTCACCTGACTTCTTATATCACTTGGGGACTTAAGCAGTAAGATCTTTTTGCTAACAGTTACTGGGTTTTACACAACGTGAAACGGGATCTTTGGTCTTCTCATTCCTCTAGTTGCTTTGTCCATATATTAAAAACCCAACAGACAGAAAAGGACTAATTTGCGATGACACAGAGACCCAAAGAGGTATAAAAAAAATGCTACATGGTTTAACATTCCCAGCATCTAGCAACAGCTGGAATATCAGCTCTTGATGTCATGATCTTATAGTTTAATGAACAAAAATACCTCAACATATTCAAAAGTCTTCTCTTACCCAAGATCTTCTGCCTGGAAGTGCCTGCTAATGTCAATGTATTCATGGATATTCCTATTGTTATACAGTCATTGAATCTAAATCAGGTGGATCCCTCAATCATAGTCAAGTGTCTATGAACATCATTAGGACTCTTGCTTCTGTGATTCTGATACAGCCTAGTGCCACTCAAAAACATTCACATACAAGCTGGCCATACATACATATGTGTTTTTTTGTATCAACCTGTGGGCTGAATGAAGGAAATCTAATAGATTCCTCTATCCACACTAAACAGCATGGATTACCAATTCATCCGCTATTGTTGTAAAAATACTCAAACAGTGCTTGCACCTGATTCATTACAGGCGCTGTTCAGCCAACATTTTCTACATGGTTCCTACGAGAAATGTCAATTTACAAAATCAACTTTTATCAATCTGAGTTTTGCCAACAGGGCCACCCACAGAAGGATTTTGGACGATCCAGGAGGAATTTGGTGTATGTATAGCAAGCTTTAGTGCGGACTACAACAGTGCGCACGTGTCCACTATGAAAGCAATAGGATTTCTATGTCAGAAGGCAGTGCCAATATTTATGGACACTTTGGAAACCACAGAAGACACGTTCAAAGCTGCAAACTTGGAACATACATGTTCTAAAAAGAGACCTGACACCGAGCTCCATGTTGTTGTTGATAGTCACCTGATTGGCAACAATCTCATTCTTAGTAAACCAGCTAGAGGACTACACTCTCAAAGTGAACCTGAACGCAAAAGCAAATTACTTTTACAGGAAACATTCAGAAATGTTGTTTGTGTTCAAGTAGTATCTTGGAAAGTACACCTCTTATTTGAAATTGAAAAACAGCAGTGGGCTTCCTGGTATGAGAGCGTACCTAGGCACTCCTGTACCTACAGCTGTATATCTGCAGTGTGAGGTCTAAGGCTGGCTTCTTCTGAATGCTAGTGCCTGAAGGTTTGGAATGATATTTGGTGAGGTCATGACTGTGCTGCTCACTGTTCTTACTGGAGGCTCTGACAGGAGCATTTTTTGATAAGTTCACATTTGCATAACAGTAACAGCACCCTTTAGTGTTATTGGTGTACATAAATTGAAGAAAGGAGGATTGTGTTTGAAACAGCGGATGATGCAGATTTGGAAAGTAACACTACATTTACACACATTGCAGGATGGAAAGGCTTGCTTTAACTCTTTCCTGTTGCAGCCCTTTAACTAGGGCTTGGAATGGGTAAGGTGAGGGGAGGGGGTGAGACTTTACAATCATGTACCAGTGATTGTCAAAATGATCACATGATTAGGAGCCCATTCCACCAGCTCCCTCTCATAACTAGAGAGCAGGAGCACTCTTTGACAGCTTGGTCACTGTGCTGGGAGTGCACAGTGAGAGTGCTTTCAGTACAAAAACCTCATCCTACATGGACACGTGTGTGGCAGGTGCGTTTTAATGCCCACCTGCCTTGCTACCGCATATACAGACTGCATTACAAGGTCAGTAAGACGTTAAGATTGTATACAATACAACATGTAACATGGTATAAAAGGAGGACTTGGCCTTTAAGGTGGAAACAGATATGACACAATACACCTTTCTACAGTGCTCTGGGGTCTATGGTTAGCTGTCATATGTTGTGTCTTCCTGAAGTAGCCATGATGGCTCTGCCAGAAAGTGAGACCTTAGTACAGTAAATTTTAGCAGGGTGTCACTGATCTCTTTATAAGGGGATAGGAGGGTTTAACTTTATCTATGGAAATGTAATAGCCTTGTAATATTTAAAGACAGGAGTGTGTATGTAAAGGAGAAACAAACACTTGTGAGGAAGCATTGCACAACTTACCCATCTGCATTTCTATAAGCGGGATACAGAAGAGCTCCTGGATGATGTGCAGACGCAGTTTGTTGTCACACAACAGAACACATTTCTTCACCGGTGAGCTGTCCATGTGGTACCTCTGCAGCCATGACATAAGTGAAACAAACAAATGTATATTTTAATGATGTCACTACTAGTGAACTGGCAATAATGCATTTTCAAAGTCATTCTGCCTCTGTTTAGAAAAATATGGAAGACACCTAAAACAACCAGTTGGGTGTTAGATTAAAAAAAAGAAAAGAAGAATTCCAATTGTGCTTAAAAAGAACCTGTAGAAAAAAAGAGGGAATGCCAACCAAAACTTTCTCTAGATTTTCATGGAGTGGAGAAGGGTGAGGACCTGAAGTTTTCATCCCTGTCTGGGGCCCCACTCAGGAGGCTTCCCCTCCTTTTCTGTCCCCCAACACACAACATACAGTTAGGTCCATATATATTTGGACACCAGCACAAGTTTACTTTTTTTAATGTATTTACCAAAACATATTCAAGCTATAGTTATATAATGGATATGGGCTGAAAGTACACACTCTCAGGTTTAATTTGAGGGTATGTACATCCAAACTGGAGGAAGGGTTTAGGAATTATAGCTCTTAAGAGTAGCCATCCCCTCTTATTCAAGGGACCAAAAGTAATTGGACAATTGAATCAAAAGCTGTTTCCTGGCCAGCTCTGGGCTACTCCTTCGTTATTTCTTCATCAATTAAGCAGGTAAAAGGTCTGGAGTTAATTCTAAGTGTGGTACTTGCCAGGGTGGATAAAAATCAATGATTTTTAAAAAAAAAAAAAAAAAAAAAAAAAAAAAAATCAGATTTTTTTTATTTAAATTGGATTTTTTTGAATAAAATGCTTTTTGAGGAAAATATATTACCATCCAAAGGTTATTCCATTATGAAATAAAGATTAGTTTTTTAATTATGTAGAATAAGGCTGTATATGTTTAATTTTTTTGGTAAATAAATTCCATGAATCCATTCACAATGTCATGCTCTTCCAGAGGTTTTTGTAAGATTATTGGGCAGTTTCTCTGCCTACAAGATATTATCACAGATGCTTGGTATACTTTTGCAGTTCTCAAAACTGAATTTGACTCAGCGGAGATCACATGCCTCTTCTTCACAGCAAAAATGTAATAACATGAACAGAGTTAAGAAAAAGACCTTAATCCTAACTTCTACAAACCTATGAATACAGAATCAACCCATTCAGTGCTAAGTTTCAAGAAGTTCAGTGAATAGAATAGAAACAATATTTTTCTGATTGTTTGGAGTGGAATAGATCTGCACAAGAAGAAAGTGAAACTAAGTGTGAGGAGGAAGGGGCTGACAGTCTAAGTTTATTAAAATATATAGATTTTGTTTAACCAAATTAGTTAACAAACATGGATGTTTAAGCAAATCACATATGCTGGAATGTTATTGTTTCAGTTGAATAAATCTATTTAAATTGTTATTATTAAGGTAATGATTATTTTTCTCCATCCTAAGTACAACAGAAAAGTTGTCCAAATATGAATGATTAACCTATTAAACTGGGGATAAAAAAACTAATATGAAAAGTTGTTATTCTAAAAATCTTCATCTACTTGCATATTAAAGTTATACCAGCAAGAATTAGTCTTTATGTAGAAAACTAGGATTTAAATCAAGCCTTACTGACTAGTGATTTAAATCGTGATTTAAATCAGTTTGATTTAAATCAAATCCACCCTGGTATTTGCATTAGGAATCTATTGCTGTGAACCTACATCATGCGTTCAAAGGAGCTGTCCATGCAAGTGAAACAGCCCATTGTAAGGCTTCAAAAATGAAACAAATCCATTAGAGAGATAGCAGCAACATTAGGAGTGGCCAAATCAACAGTTTGGTACATTCTGAGGAAAGAAGAACACACTGGTGAGCTCAGCAACAAAAAAAGACATGGACGACCATGGAAGACAACAGTGGTGGATGATCGCAGGATCATCTCTATGGTAAAGAAAAACCGATTCACAATATCCAGACAAGCTGGGAGTATCTCTGTCAAAGTCTATAATCAAGAGAAGACTTCACAAGAGCAAATACAGAGGGTTCACCACAAGGTGCAAACCATTCATAACCCTGAAGAACAGAAAAGCCAGATTAGACTTTACCAAGAAACATCTTAAAAAGCCAGACCAGTTCTGGAAAAGCATTCTTTGGACGAATGAAGCTAACATTAATCTGTGCCAGAATGACGGGAAGAAAAAAAGTTTGGAGAAGGCTTGGAACAGCTCATGATCCAAAGCATACTACGTCATCTGTAAAACATGGTGGAGGCAGTGTGATGGCATGGGCAAGCATGGCTTCCAGTGGCACTGGGTCATTGGTGTTTATTGATGATGTGACTGAATACAGAAGCAGCTGGATGAATTCTGCAGTGTTTACAGATATACCGTCAGCCAAGATTCAGCCAAATGCAGCAAAGTTGATTGGACGGTGCTTCACAGTACAGATGGACAATGATCCAAAACAAATTGCAAAAGCAACCCAGGAGCTTTTGAAGGAAAAAAAGTGGAATATTCTGCAATGGCCGAGTCAATCACCTGATCTCAACCCAATTGAGCATGCAATTCACTTGCTGAAGGCAAACTTAGAGGCAGAAAGACCCACAAAGAACAACTGAAGACAGCTTCAGTTAGAGCCTGGCAAAGCATCAGAAAGGAGGAAACCCAGTCTTTGGTAATGTCCACGGGTTCCAGACTTCAGGCAGTCATTTCCAGTAAAGGATTCTCAATAAAATATTAAAAATGAATATTTTATTTATGGTTATATTCAATTGTCCAATTACTTTTGGTTCCTTGAAAAGAGGGGATGGCTACTATTAAGAGCTGTAATTCATAAACCCTTCCTCCAATTTGGATGTACATACCCTCAAATTAAACCTGAGAGTGTGCACTTCCAGCCCATGTCCATTATATAACTATAGCTTGAATATGTTTTGGTAAATACCTGAAAAAACTAAAATTGTGCCGGTGTCCAAATATACATGGACCTAACTGTAAGAGGAAATCTTACCAAAGTCAGGCGAAAGCCCACCTTTGACAGCTGTCACAGTAACAGGTCTCCTCTGCTCCTGGCCCTAGAGGGTCATAGGCAACTATAAAAACCTGACAGAGGTTTTACCTGTTCCACACTCTACAAATAAGAAAAAATGTTTTCAGTGAAGTGCCACTTTAGTATATAACTGCAGGCATTTTTTTTGTAGCTTTGGACAGAGTGGAGATGGATTAAAATGCAGATGGATCTGTTGAGTTTTATTGCTGTCTGTGCCCTCATTAGGGAGATTTATCCTCTCTTTTTGTGCCGTTTACCATCATAGAAAGTGAAAGAAAATCCCACATTTTGGGTTGTCCCCAGAAACGTAATAGAGGGAAAATCTTCCAATGGGGACACTAGCACTGCTGATCTGGGGGCCCCAAGGAATTCTCTCAATTTACAGGGATTTCCTCTCACTTACTGTTTTGATTATGAGACAGGAAGCTACAGTAAATTTCCCCAATGGGACACAAATGGAAAAATCTGACAGGGGTTATATTCTTCCCTCACTCTACTTTAAGGTGAGCAAGCATTATCTCTGCATATCTTCTATTCAGGTGTGGTCAGTGCCAGTTACTAGCAAGCAATGAATTCAGTGCAACAGTGTGCACTATACTTTCACAGCTGACAGGAGTCAACCTTAATAAGTTCATAAAATCAGGAGGTGTGATTTGACTGTCACAGTGATCAGGGGATCAGGAGATGGTGAGGTGAGGCTGTCGGTGATAGCACGGTAACTGTGCTTGGGGCTCTGAATAATCACAAGAGATGCTGGAAGCCATATATATGTGTTTGGCTGGCATTGAGGGGTTAAAGTGGAACTCTAAGCCCATCCAGATATGTACATTGCTGTACTGCACAGAAAAGGCAAGGTTTACTATGTGTTATAGCACTGCATATATCGAGGTGCCATTAACGAACAATGGATGCTTTGTGATGCGTTGTCATTTGTTTTAAATGGTCTGCCTTAACACACAGCACAAATTAAATGTTCATTAATGCACAGCAACATAGCAGAAAAGTGTGAATGGGCGCTAAAAAAAATTCCACTCTTTCTGGCTTGCTTTATAACAGCATGAAGAGCAATAACATCTGAAAAACATAAATCAATTGAAAAAAAAAACAAAAAAAAACACCGTACTCAACTCTACTCTTAACAAATGACTGCCTGGCAGTTTGTAGATTATTACAGTTTTGCCCTTTACAGGGCCTTAAGAAAAAAAAAAATATCAACCTTTTCACACTGTAAATGCAGATGTAGCCACCACAGCAATGAATCCAGTTTCTAAAACACACTAAATAATTAGCAATTTCTGCATTTTTATAAAATGTGCCAATTATTATCATTATTATTTACTTCTCAAAAACCAGTAGCCATACTTCACCCTCTGAATTCTAAGAACCGATTCGCTTAATTCACACAAAAAACATTCCGATCAGCCTCAAAAGTCTATGAGCTAGGCTTCTTTATTTAATTAAACCACATTATTTTTGAAAAGGAGATGAGCTGGGCTTTTAAATCTAAACGTTGATTACAGTCTATGTGTGCATGGATACATAGGATAACATGCTGGGGAGTTTACTAGCTGTAGAAAAAAACCGTCAAAAGCCAAAAACGGCCGCTGTAAAAACGTCCAGTGTGCATGAGGACTTAATGATTACAGACCCCCAGAGAACTGCAAAATATGTCCTCATACTTTCTTCGCCAGACTGTCAATATTATTATGATTCAGGATTTATATAGCACCAACTGCTTGCACAGAGCTTTACAAAATAAGGCAGACAGTACGTTGAAACTACAATTCAATACAAGAGGGTTTACAGGGCTTTGCTACCGATAAAGGGAGGGGAAAGTGATACAAAAAGGTAATAACTACATGGGATGAGCCGATGGGGAAAGCAAAAGTAAAGTTTTTTTTGGTGAGGCTGGATATGTTTTCCCAAAGAGATGAATTTTCAAGGAATCAGCTAAACAACAGAGAAGGAGATAGCCGAAGAGCTTTGGGTACAGAGTTCCAGAGGAAGA